TATAGCTGTTTATAAATGTAAAACATTTGCAAAGTTTTAAAGATCAAAGTGCACTTTAAAAAGTGTTATTGTCTTCCAAAAGAAAGAGCGTCGGAAATGAAACGCTCAATATTATTTTTCTGATCTTCAACTTCGGAGGCTTCCTCAGCAATTGAATGCACAGTGATACGAAGATTAACGATGTCATTGTTGTTCACGGGCAGCCGAATTATTAATTCCAGCCTTACTTCTACTCCTACAGTTTGTAACACATTTACTTGTCTATGGTCTTCATTGGCTGCCAGTGAAACAACGATGCCATCGTTAATCTTCGTATCACTGTGTATTCAATTGCTGAGGAAGCCTCCGAAGTTGAAGATAAGAAATGATAATGAGCGTTTCATTTCCGACGTGCTGTAAGCGGGAAACCAATCACAACAGACTAGGCCATCTGACCAATTAGTGCAGAGTGGGCTCTCGGAAAGGAGGGGTTTAGAGAAACCGGATTCTTTATCGAACCGTTTCAGACACTGAGAAAAGAGGCGATGCTGCAATGTATATTAGGAGAAAATTAAAGTGTTTTTTGACCTTGGATGCATGTAAACCTATTGTAGGAGACCTCCAAAACAGAATTAGGAACCTTTAAAATAGCATAATAGGGGCATTTTAGCATCATCGCATCATGTCTTTTCTGTGTTGCAGATCTGTTTGTGTGGAGGTGAAACATGCCTGTGAGTTCCTTCTGTCGAAGCAGATGGAGGATGGAGGCTGGGGCGAGGACTTTGAGTCATGTGAGCAGCGATGCTACGTTCAGAGCAAGAACTCACAGATCCACAACACTTGCTGGGCTTTGCTGGGGTTGATGGCTGTCAGGTAAGGTAGAGGGTTTTTAGATACCTTTACAGAAGTGCATCCTTAATTTATAAAACAAATGTCATTTTTTAGGTACCCTGACATTAGAGTGATTGAGCGAGGCATTCAAGTTTTGATTGATAAGCAGCTGCCAAATGGAGACTGGCCACAGGTGAGCAATGCTGTTCCCTTGTCTCCATAATTCATCTGAGTTCTCTCAATCTGTCTAATAACATGTGCTGGGTTGTTTCCCTCTTTTCAGGATAACATTTCTGGAGTGTTCAATAAAAGCTGTGCCATTAGCTACACCTCTTACAGGAATGTGTTTCCTGTGTGGACGTTGGGCCGGTTTTCACGGCTTTACCCCTGCAGCTCACTGGCTGGGAAACTCAAACTCTGAGTCAGATACTGTGTACCTGTGCCTCAAATAAGCAGTATCTGACACAGCCGCCTATTTAGAAACATATTTTTTTTAAACAAACCTGTTTGCTGCTCTTTAGAATGTAGGACTGATTTGTCTAGATTTGTTTAGAATAGTATCTACATAATACTTTATTCAGTTCATTTGGATTTGTTTAGAATATTATCTACAGAATACTTCATTCATTTTTGTACTCATTTAACCATGTGACCAAGGCTTTGTATACTGTAGATGATTCTGCAATTAAATTTGATTTTCTATACTCTATTTTTAAATTTCTATAATTTTATATTTTGTCTTATTATTTTGCAATTATATCTGAATGTCTGAATTATGGTATAATTTTTCCTATGATTTCCACTGATTTCAATCAGTTTGGATTAATATTAATGGTTTTAAAAACAATCTTTTGATTGAACTATCAAAATTTTAAATTACTGTTGTTCAAGATGAAACCCACTGAATTACTATGCACTGTAATGAGGTCAAGTAACATCAGTGTAGCATACTATATAACTATACATAATCTCTTTACTATTTTTAACTCATTCTTCAAATATTAAGCGTTATGTCAATTTTACACAACATTGAATTTAATTTAGAATTGAATTAATTAAAAATAACTTTTATTGTCCCAAAGTAGACACCACTCTCTGAGGCCACCTCAAAATTAAATGTTGTCAGCATGTACTCACCTTCATGTTGTTTCAAATCTTTGTTTCTTTCTTCTGTTGGTAGGGTTGCCACCTATGTCTGATAAAAAACCGGGACATATTACCCGCCCAACTGGGGGGGGGGGGAGAGAGGGGTGTTTGAAGACCAAAAATGAACGGTTGAACACCAAAATTTAAATTTTAACTGTAGGCCCGCCTATACACCAAATGCTGCGCAAAAATATATCCTATATTCGCGTATTTTCAGATTTTTGTTCATGATTTTTTTTTTGCCCCTTTAATAAGCATTTAAAATATTCACAAATTATATGGATAAAATGGTTTTCTAAGGCCAAACACTATATTTCTAAGGCTATAGATGATTTATAGGCTATTATAAATGTTTCTGAAAAAGTAACGAGGCATTTTAATTGTTTATTAATAAACTAGTATTTTCTAAATCGGCTGCAACATATCTCCATCTCCGCTGTAAAGCAGATGCGCCTTTAGAGAAGAAATTCATATGGATTACATAATCAGACTGTATTTTCTTTTGATTCGAATTTGTTCGTTTAAAAGTGGACATTTCAAGCTTTAGCCTATGGGCTTGTTTATTTTGAGACGCGATCCAGTTCACGGAGACCATAAAAGAGCGCGACTGATTGTTTTATTTTATTTTACAAAAGCACAACGTTTTCTTGTTATTGTGAGTTTACACAAATAAAAGTAGTTGCGAATGATGTATTGTTGCGAATGATGTTTATTTTCTATGACCAGAAATGATAGAGTAGTAGGCCTATTTAGCGGGCCGTCGAGGGCGTGGCTATACTTTTATTACCTTTTTTAAGCTTTGTTTTATAACAAATATTCATCTGACTATCATAAACTATGCATCGTTTGAAAGCTAAAACACTCAAGAACCATGTTCTAGACTTGTTTTTGCAATCAATACACCAGAGAGGAAAGGGTTAAATAAAATGCAAAAGGACTGCTCATTTGAAAATGAGCAAAATGAACCGCTATACTCATCTTTCATCTCGTATGGTTCAGATCAGTTCGGAAGAATCCAAGAAACAACAGCATACATTTCAATGTAAGGGTCCACTCTTCAAAATGCATCCCACTTTTTAATCCAAAACAACGAAAAATAGGGGAAAAAAATGAAATATCCTCCTTTGTTTTCATGAGCGTTTTCGAGATAGAGTTCGCATCATGTTCATTTTCAAAGAAATATCGATTCTAATCCATATTCCAACACTCAAAAGCCATCTCACCCCCGCAGTTTAGACTCTTCCGGATCGAATGATACATCCTACTTCTCTCTCGTTCAATCACAGGCTCTGTTACAGACCAAAACAGTAAGAGAGTCCCTGACAGGCTGAGCGCGCTGTCCATCGCGCAGCTGGGCTTTCGACTGGATAAAAGCCTGGATAATGCTATCCAATGTCCTTTGAGCTACGTTTTGATTGATGGGAGTATTAGCCAACTAAAATCGATTGCAGTGATAGACAGTTCATGCAAGCACATTCGTCAAATTCAACTGCGCAAAGTTTTCATTCACATGTGCGCTTTCGCCACGCGCGCAGCACGCACACACATAGTCAGCCGACCAGAATGTAAACAGACACATAAACGCGATGTTTTGACACATGGAGCTTGCATAAATGCACGGATTTACTCTAAAGCTTATATCTGAGCATCTGTATCATGGATCGTCGACTACAGAAGAGATTTGAAGGTTTTTTTGCAGAAAATGACGAAGAGCAACAGGAAGTAATAGGATATTCATTATAAGTATCAGTTTATTGCAATTTATTTGGGTAAAAACCACGTTTGTAATTACAAATGTTCTAAAACATTTATGTTTTTCTTTTTATATATTTTATACATTAGTTGGAAAATGAACACTTCTGCAATGTCTATACATGTAGTGAGAAATCACTGTTTTTGCTATTAGAATTGTTCAAAATAAAGATAATTTTGGTAAAATGTTCAAATGTTGTGCTGAAATCGTTTTTTTCTTGTGTGGTTTGAAGGGCATAACAGTTCTGAATTGTTGTTGCAGACCTATAGTGTTTACTCCCTATGTAAAGTGTTTGGGTGCCAGGTGTCCATTTGGAGTCTCCAAATTGCATTTTGGAAAGGACGCCTATACTTTTCTTGAATAAAAGCTTACAGAAACTACATTTTTGGGAGTATCATCCTCAAATTTGAATCTAAACATGGTCAGACATTCAATTTTATCTTTATGGTGTTTTCAGGCCCTTAACATAAAAGTCTGATCATTTTTTCCCTAAGTGAAGTTAATTAAAAGAAATCGTGAGTCACATTCATGTAAATTTTACCTTGTTTTACTCTGTTCCTATGCTACTTTGAGTAATAATGACTCTTGGGTAACAAAGTTTCAAGTGTCTAGTTTAAAAAAAGATCAGAGTTATGAATGTGGACCATAGGGTTTAAGAGCTACAGACATTTGTATTTGGGTATGTCATTTTCAGAAAATTCTCAAAAAATGGGGCGCTGGTTAAGAGGTTAAGTTGTTTCCACTGTTGATAGAAAAACGGAAGTGCTCGCGCCCGCGCCTCGTGCAGCAAGCGCGCTCCACACTCAGATTACATGCGCTTCTTATGCGCTTCTTGAGGCAGACTCGACTCACACTAGCACACACACGCAAGGTCTCTCGCTCTCTGCCGTTGCGCGCGCTACACAGTTTGAACATACATATTCACGTAGCCTTTCGAAAACCGGGACATTCAGTGTCCCGGGAGAGTGCGTAAATTTCCCGGGACAGGTTATTAAAAAGAAGGACAATCCCGGTAAAACCGGGACAGGTGGCAACCCTATCTGTTGGACACAAAAGAAGATATTTTAAAGAATGTTGGTAAACAGACAGTTGACGGTAGCCATTGACTTTCCATATGATATAGGCAAATAAAATACTATAGAAGTCAATGGGTGCCTCAACTGTCCTTCATTTTTGGGTAAGCTATGCCTTTAAGTACGTTGCAGAAGATTTGTGCAGAATCTACACTATTTATTAATATTATTACATTTATGTTGGGTGCAGACTTTTATTTTGACATGGTGAAGCATTGTTTCTGCATTCACGCTGCTCTGGGTTTATGGATGAAGCCGGTTAAAGAACTGCTAGTTTTCTCACAGAATATCCCTCAATTTTGTGCGATATCGAAGGGCTCTCTGCAGCATGACAGGACGGAGATATGACTGTTAATGTCACGGTTTAAATGATGGCGTCAGGATGGCGGCAGCCTCGATCAGCTACATCCGCTTTACTCATTAACACCATAATCATCTTCATCAGCACCGGCGCGCAGACCCACACCTGTGACCATAAAGTGCCCCTGCCTACAGAGGTCAGTCCCTCTTCTCTTTTTTCATTTTTCTGGCCCCCAAATGAGCTTTGTTACACATTGTTTGGCTGTGCCTTCCTAATATCACCTTGCTGCGCTTTTTCCCTTCAAAATGAATGGTAACTGAGGCTGTCAATCTGCCTCAAGTCTCCTTTTGTGTTTCACAGAAGAAAGAATGTGACATGAAGGTGAAAAATTTGACATAATTTAAATTTTTGGGTGAACTATCCCTTTAAAAGACATTTATCAGGATGATGTCACATTAAAAGGATAGTTCACCTTAAAATGGAAAAAGAAAAACCTGTCATAATTTACTCATCTTCATGTTGTTCTAAACCTCTATATCTTATGTGTAACACAAAATAAATTGTATAGCAGTCCAAACTTATTTTTCCATTAAATGAAAGTCTACTCACTGCTCAAATAATCTTTAAAATACTATTATTTAAGATGATTTGGTCCCAGGTGTCTTTAACTACTATACTACTAATAACATTTAAATTAATAATTTGATACAATGCACTTATTGTGTACATTCATGTTTTTACATTGTACTTATATATAATATTTTAAAAAATACCTGCATGTAATTAAATTAATATCAGTAATTACATCTATAATTATACTGTTGACCCTTCCCCTACTTTTTAATCCACCCTTGAACCTACCCATACCATACCATACCGAAACCTATCCCTATCCCACCCCAGTAGCAGCAAGTGTTTTGCAATGCAACATGAACACAATAAGTACATTGCACTTATTTTTATGTAGGTACATAGTAGTTAAATACACCTAATACAAAGTGTGACCTATTATTTAACCAATTTATTATAATCTAATCTCTCTGGTTTGCCCTTCTAGGTGATACATAAAGTGTTTCTAAAGCCAGATAGATTGATCAAAAGAAGCACTGACCAGCAGTTAAAGATCCAGATAGAGTACGACTCCAGCTTGGATGGGTTAGTTATTGGTTTATATTTGATTAAATGCAGGAATGCCACATTATCGTGACCATACATTGACTTCACAATGTCTTTACTGCTCGCACAGGTTAGATGAAGACAAAAGCAGCCATGTGAAGGTATATTTTGACTTCTGTGGTCAAGATTTTATCAGTCAAAGGTTATTTGTTAAATCTTAAAAATGGCCTTTTACGTCTAAATAGGATGCATGCATGCATTATTGATCTTTGTCTGCTTTGTTTCAAGGACAAGCTCCTCCCACAGGCTATTGATTATCTTCAGGAGGCCTTCAGGGTTCGTAGGCAGTCTGGCCCAATATTGCTGAGCAGGTATTTCTCTACTGAGCTAGTGTTGTCTGCCAGCAAATCCTCTTAAAATTGCACTCGGGTCTGGCCTTCTGGATGCTTGGTGGTTACTTAATCTAATTAGTGTCTGTTTTTAATCCCAATATATTTTTCTTAATTATTAGGCAATGTGCAACCAATCAGTACCTTAGAAAGAGAGATGATCCGCATCGCTACTGTCAGGGACCATGTGCAGGCATCACCAAGTGTGGCCCAGTTGTTGTCCCTGAACAACATTTGCAAGTGAGTCCCTCCAAAAATGTGTTACTTGTTTTTATTTCAATATTTTTTGTCTGTATATACAGTATAGTATAGATGTTTTTTGTTGCGTATAAACCATATAGATTAGGAAGTCCAAAAACGTCAAGACATTTGTTCCTTATGTTTTCATTATGTTTGCTTAATATGAGCAATGTTCCGCATACAAATTTCATACTTGTTTGACATTCCCACCAAAGCCTATTTAGTCTACCCGTTGGCGCATAATGAGCATTGTATTAAAATCAAAATGTCTCTATCAGCCTAATAATTTGAGGGGTCCTTTATTAAAATGGGGTCCGATTTTACTGCGTGATTTGTGGGTGTTCAAAGGATGAGACTTTAAAACAGAAATAAGTTAAATAGGAATGGTGTATTTACATAATTCACAAGAAACTTAAACTTAACACAATAAAACTAGGAAACTTGTGTGTGGAGTCTGTTTGCAGTACAGAAAGTATTGAGTATTTCTGTTGCAGCATGAAAACGTCTGAAACATCTGTGTATTTGTAAAATATTGCATCTTATCCACTTCATCTGTGACAAAGTACACAAACGCCAAGCAAGGGAAGCAAATTGTCAGAAGAAATTAATTCCTCCCCCGATTGTAAGCGGCAAATCTTGCCGATTGGTTTAATCCAGCCAGCCATTTTAGATATTATTATAATAGATGATCTACTAATATATACAGAAGTATCATGACTAGATTTTTAAAGCTAAAAAAGGAAAAATATTGTAATATTGATAAATATGATTGTATTGAAAGGTAAATATATGTGTTCTTCTTTAGCAATGCAGGGTTTGCAGTGAGTCTGGAAAGTCCTGCGGTCCCGCCGGTCCTCCCGATGGTGAGGGGGTGGCGAGGGCAGATTTTGTGCTGTACGTGAGTGCGATGACCACAGAGCGCTATGGACAAGAGAACATCGTAGCCTATGCAGCGTACTGCCAGCTGGAGTCTGAACTGGACAGGTAATGGCAAGTAGGAATGTAGTTGATTTTTGATTTGCTGTGGTCTAGTGTGCTGCCGATAGTAAGCACAGAATTTCTTAATACAGGCCCATCGCTGGATATGCCAATCTGTGTCCCAATATGATCTCCACTCAACCTCAGGAGTTTGAAGGAATGCTTTCCACAGTCAAACACACGAGATGATACATGCCCTGGTAACAACATTAAACTCTATACATCCACTTGACACAGAGACCATGAAAGAGCTTCATAGTTTTTATAGATAGTTCAATTATATGCTTTGTTTCTAAGGGTTTTTCAGCAGGACTCTTTGCGTTTTACCATGATGATGATGGGAAACCTTTGACACCACGTTCTGCAAGTGGTCTGCCTGCATACAATGAAAGGTGATGGTTATGTTTGTATATTCATTTCAATTCATTTTGAAATATTATTTAAAAATATTTACATAAATATACAAAACTATCAAGCCTATGTAATGCTACTTCCAAAAAACAACAACAACAAAAAACAGAGTGCTTGACTCTTGCATTGTCAATACAAGATCTTGACCAAAAATTGATGCACCTCTTGATGGAAATAACATCACAACATTTAGAGCCTGCTGAATCTTGACATTGTCATTCTGGAATATGGCCATTATGTTTCTTCCTACATGGTTGTTTAAGAAATTAAAAGCTACACACTCCATCAATTAGTGTTAGAAGAATTGTTGCCAAACATATCACATGATAATGTTTTAACATTTGAAAGCAGTGGCACCGTTGCCACTAAGTTTTGTTCCGATTTTGCCGTGTTTGCCATTTAATGTTTCTCATACGCAACAGAAATGGCAGCGCTTATCAGTTATCACCATTGCAACCTCTAACAAAATTCAGTCACACCGGCAGAAAAAGAGGTCACAAAATGCAAACATTTAGTCACAGTATAGAGCCCTGACATACACTGTGTTTATTTCTTTCTATATCTCTCTCTCAGTTTAGGGTTATATCAGTGGAGTGATAAAGTCATTAAAAGAGCAACTCGGCTGTGGGACATCCGTGGTGACCTCATGGTTAGACACACCATCCATCTTTTGGCCACTCCACGTGTAGTGGTAAGTATTTCTATTTCTTTCCTTTTAAAGGTTTACTCCACCATTTTTTCATATTAAACTATGTTATTCCCTTAACTAAGACGAGTTGATACATACCTCTCTCGTCTCAGTGCGTGCACTAAATCGCTCTGTCTTGCGGCGAAACTTTGTTAGCACTTAGCTCAGCCCAGTTCATTCATTAGGATCCAAGCAGAGAAGTGACCAAACACCTCCACGTTTTCCCTATTTAAATACAGTTACACGAGTAGTGTAACTCAACCAAGAATGGTGTGTTGCAGCAAAAACAATAATTAACAAAACAAGCATCACAGTAAGACACATCAGATTCCAATTGTACTTTAAAAGAAAGTTTATTCTTTTAAAGGAGGTTGTTCACAAAAAAACATACCACGACAGCTACCTCGTGGCAGGTACAAGACCCCCTATTTGGGAGACCCCCTGCTCTTCTTGGGATGTGGGTGTAATGTCAGGGTTATGTTTAGTGTCATTTGTGTTTTAGTTTGGTTATGTTCTGTTCCCGTTTACCTGTGTTTCTTTGGTTGTTAGTTTCTATGGTTGCATTCTGAGTTTCTGACAGAGTCTCTTCTTCTGTACTTTTCCGCTTATTCCAGTAAAACCAGATCTGGCTGGTTGGTTAGAAATCTGGCTGGTTGGTCTGAAACTCCTCTAAACCCCCCTTTTCTCTGGGCTTTTACTATCCTCACACCTGTGAGGTCAAAAGGCTGAATAACTTTTGTCTTTCCTGATTACCCATGCTAATGAATTCAGAGGCTGTCTGACCATTTGCTTAAGTGTGTGATTCTTTGTTCCCACCAGGTATGCCAATATTCCAGGAGAGAAAATACATGATTGAATTAAAAGAAAAACCCACACAATGTCAAAATGAAAACTAAAATATTAATTTTTCCACAACAATCCCTCCTATTTATCATTCAAAAATAAAATAAAAATAAATATATAAAATAAAAATTAATAAATAAAAACATCACTACATCAAACCCATAAATGTACTCTTGTACTCTTCATGTCTGATTTTCGTATACCTGATCACTCTACTTGAATTTTGGAAAAAAGTAAAAATTTAAAAGTAAAAATAAATGAAAATACAAATAAATAAAAACTTGTATTGTCTGCATAATTTTGTTCATCCTTGGGATACCCTGTCATTTTCCAATTGAACAGACTCCTATTCACCCATGAACAACAACATTATCAGAATAACACATTAACATTAATCCACGCCCATCTCCATATATCACCTCGATATCCATATTTTGTTAACTTTTAGTTCAATCAGGCAATGGTTTTACTTAATAAGCTCTATTTAATAAAATCTTTAAGTTTTATCATTTTATGTGTGTGTTTTATCCCACTTCTTTAGAAACCTTTAAAGAACAGATGTGTGCATGTACTCTAGGTGGCGTGACGTGGTAGCCGTGCCCCTGGCTGTGTAGATCCACAGTTCAAACTGAAGGCCCTTGTCCCCAGTGCTCCTTCCAGCCCCTGTCTGGTCCTTTTGGCTCAGGGGATGGTCAACCTGGGCAACTCTGGGAACATGGCAGTTTCCTGCACAGGGTCTGTTATTGGTGATTTCAATCTAGTTATTTTATTTTGCCTGGATTTGTTTGTTGTTTTGAATTCGTCTAAATGATTGTTCCTGGTTCTGACTTTAATATTATAGGTTGCTGAAAATGAGACAAGAAGCAGTTCATCAAATGAAAGTGTCCTACTACTACAATCTCTTACTGAGGTAAGTTTGGCATAGATGTGCAGGATGCAGATCACTGTGATTGTCTGAATGCTTAATTGTCCTTCTTTGGCAGTGAGCGTGTATGGATGCCTCTTGACCTTCCGACCCTTGTGGCAGAAAGCACCCCTAATGCACCTGACAGAGTCTATTGGAAAGCCACGCTTCTGTTGCCAAGCACCTGCGATAGTGACATAAGCTTTGCCAGCAGGTAAAGAACAAATTTATTATGGAATTATTTTTGTGCCGATAAAAATGAACGTAACTTTTCAAGAAATCAATGAAAATATAAATTGAAACTGAATAAAATATCTTTGAAACTGAAAAAGAATGAATCGCAGGCAATTTTTTGACTTTGTTTTTAATACACTGCATGTTTTGCTAACTATTCCTCATATTTCTTTTACTGATCTAAACTTACAAATGCGCTTCAAGAGTTTTCATTTACACTTCTGAAGTTTTCGTTTGCTTCTGAAGTTTTCATTTACGCTTCTGAAGTTTTCGTTTACGCTCCCTGAGTTTTCGTTCGCTGTTCTGACACAATTCTCTCGTGGGGGCGGGGCTATTTGCAGTGTGTTCTCATTGGCTACTGAGTTTTTGATTGACAGCTTCTTGACCTGGAAGTGAAGACGTCAGTGTTGCGTTTACTTGTGTGGATGTGAGCGTCTGTAAGCGCAGCTTTCTATTTCATTTAGGTGATATTAAGTTATGTTTGTTTTTGAATTTTATCTGTATTTACCTGCTGCTGCTACTACTTTGTCAACAGAAACTTTTAGGAGCGCAAGAGATCTCTTCAGTCTATTCAGGTGTAATTGTACATCAAAGTAAGCCTACTGTATATGCCTACTTAAAATATTGTGTCCAATGTTTTAGGAGAATATTTGTTTATTCCTGATGATTCTCTTGCATGTTAGGCTCTGATTAGGTTGTGCTATTACAATTTATAGAGAATAGCCTACTAGTATACGTGTGATATATTCAGCCATCAAGAAAGTTTCACTTCAACCAGGTAATCAAGGTTGGCAACCATGGCCATCAAATTTCTCATTGTTACCATATCCATTTACACAATCAAAATGTATGATCACTTAAATAAGAGGAATTTAAACTATGAAAATTACAATCGTGGCTTGCTGTCAGATGATACAGACCTCAAAGGGCATTTCATTACATATTTCACACAAAGAATATTTTTGTTGCCATTTTTTTAATCATGCTGATAATTTTATTTATTTCATTTAGTTAATATTATCTTCTAACATTTAAAATTGTGAATATATTTGAACAATCATCAACAGGTTCAATTATGACTTACAAAATCAGTTAAATGAATTTAAATAAAAAATCAAATAAATGTACATTCTTTATTGTCACTACAGCATACACAAGTATCAAAGTGAAAGTCTTGGATGCGATTATGTTGTGACAGGAAAGACCAGAAGCCACAAAACATTAACTGCATACTATACATGTAATGCACAGTATTCTCATAATATACATACAAAATGCATAATTACAAAGATTTTTAAGGAAATAATCCATCTCTGTGAGTCCATATAAGACAAGTGGATTGTAACCCATGTATGACAGTTGGTCGGAAGTGATTTTTAATAGTTAAAACAGTTTACATTATTAGTATTTTTCTTATCCTATTGTTTCACTTCAGAAGGCATTGATTCATCCACTGAGGTCGCATGGACATCACGGTCACTGTGTGTGGTTTTTAAAGCATCTTCAGGACTCGCAGAGATGGATTACTTTCCTTAAAATCTTAATTCGTATTTATCTGTAGAAAGAAAGTAAAATGCATCTGGGACAGCATGAGTCCCAGATGCATTTTACAATGCATCTGGGAGTAAAATAAGTGAGTAAAATAAGTGAATTTTATTTTTGGGTGAACTATCCCATTCATATGCTGTTGGTATGCTAATCCATGATCAGCATAGACTAATAAGAATAAACTGCAACCTCTTGTGTACTTGTAAACTGTGTTTGTTTTAATCTAGAGCTCCAAAGAAATTAAAATATTTGCTATTTTATAATATTAAAATAAAATACATCAGGTGTCTGAAGATCAGGATCCCAGTCATTCAAAGGTGATATGTCTGAACAAAGTAACATTATTGTCTGATGGAGACAGTTGATCTCTGGTATTATCACTCCATCCTCTATGTCAGCATCAGAATTTTGTTTATGGAAAAGTTGCTCAACTCCCTGGAAAATGAGAAAGGAAATGTATTATGATCTAACAATACAAACTGCTTTGAACTCCCACATGCAGTAACAAGTTGCAGACTTAAAATAATTATTTCAAACAAATTATATAAATGTTTTAAGGGATTTTACAGTACTAAATATTTACCTCCGAGTCATGCACCATTTATCATCTGTAATACTGTCGTGTAACCAGTAGATGGCTGTATAGCCCTATAAACATTTATCCATGGCTGTGTATTCCCTAGTTGCTGGATGTTTTCAGTCATTATTACTTGCATGTATTAGGTTTTGCATTTGGACACATATTTATTATTAAAGACTATTCAAAATTCAACATTTTTCTCCGAATTTTTTTTTGTTGTTGTTGCATTATTATTGCTCAAATATGGACACAGAAAAAGCATTTTGTTGCATTTTGCAGAATAAATATTGCGCAGGGTGATACTTCAAAATAATTGAGTGTTTACATATTATGAATAGAGACGTGAAATGTGGTCAAGTCCTGTCTCTCCTCTTTTAAAAACTCTGCATCGCAAATTAATCAGCAATTGGCTTTACATTGCCAAAGTTGAATCGGGCAGTGATTGACAGCGCTCTTGTACAGATACTGTACAGTACTCTAGCCCAATGTTGTTTGGGGTGGCAGGGGGGAAATATGATCTAATCGAAGACTGTAATGAAACCGTAATGTTAGATAAACAAGTCATTTAATGATTGGGCTAACTTACCAATTAAATCAAGACGACACTGCTGTATAATGTTATGGGCTCTCACTGAGCTCTAATATGCCTCTCCAAAAGCAAGTACTGTATTATAAATAGTATTAGTTTAGTATTAATTCATAAAAAAAAATAAAAAAAAATCTGACTTACCACGAGTAACTGTTAGGCTATCCAGTATTCTGATATCGACGATGACAAATTATATCATTCGTCTGTACTATTCCTTCTATAAGAAATCACCTCAACAATATAGTGTAGCAGTAAATAAATACAGATATAAACTTAATATCACCTAAATGAAATAGAAAGCTGCGCTTACAGACGCTCACATCCACACAAGTAAACGCAACACTGACGTCTTCACTTCCAGGTCAAGAAGCTGTCAATCAAAAACTCAGTAGCCAATGAGAACACACTGCTACTAGCCCCGCCCCCACGAGAGAATTGTGTCAGAACAGCGAACGAAAACTCAGGGAGCGTAAACGAAAACTTCAGAAGCGTAAATGAAAACTTCAGAAGCAAAGGAAAACTTCAGAAGTGTAAATGAAAACTCTTGAAGTGCATTTGTAAGTTAAGATCAGTAAAAGAAATATGAGGAATAGTTAGCAAAACATGCAGTGTATTAAAAACAAAGTAAAAAAATTGCCTGCGATTCATTCTTTTTCAGTTTCAAAGATATTTTATTCAGTTTCAATTTACATTTTCATTAATTTCTTGAAAAGTTACGTTCATTTTTATCGGCACAAAAATAATTCCATAATTTATGGGAACATTTGTTAAATCATGTGAAATTATAACTGACATCTTTTGTTTTATTTATGTTTGTTTCCATGCAGGATTCTGACAGACTGGCTTGAGGTTAAATTGGGTGGAGGAATCTAAAGATAGTGAGAAAGAACCAAAAGGGCAACTAAAAACGTTGTGCATCAGTCACAGCCTGACAAATATTAAGGGACAGACTCGTGAAGTTCACATTTCTATAAAGGTGAGCCTCAGAAGAAATGAAAATTCTGTCATTATTTACTCAGTTACAGTGAGGTAATGAGGAGAAAATGGACCACAGGGGGAAAAATTGAGTGCTGCAGTGATGACATATTTTTGTAGGCCATCCCGGGAAGTTAGCATCACCCTGGTTCCCTTGTCAAAAACTCGGTAGGATTTTTCCATTGACTTTTGGATTATTGCTGAAAATAAGCTCTGTGACCAACAAAAATGTATTGTTTTTACATATAATGGTTATCAGGATAATCTTCACAAATTAACAACTGAATTTTGAAGCACCTCAGTCGAGTGACTTCAATATCCCCATCACTAAGCTTCCGACAGCTCTTTTTGTCTTTATTTAAAAAAAGTTTTTGAGTTACAATAGTTTGCAAGACTGCGATTATAAACACAATGAGGCTGTAATAACAGACTAGTGAATAGATGAGTTTACCTGTTCGGCGTGATGTTTAATGTCCCTGAAAACCTCTGTAGTCAAAATTAGCCACTTGTTAGCATCTGCCTTTTTCAAGACAATTAAAAGCTTAAAAAATCGCAAGGGCTATTACTGATACATAATTTTATTTCTTAGAATAAAACGTGACCATTTTGATGTTGTGTGTTTCAGGCATTTACCCAAGAACCTATTTAAAAAAAAACATTGACGATGGAACTGAATGTAAAAAAACAAACAAAAGGATTTTGACCTACAAAAATGCAATTTCTCCGGCTCATTGTGAAGCTCAATAGAATTACATCTAGGGGTCCAAATGTCTCTGCATTTACAGATGATTAACCCCTTTGTCTCTGTGCAGGCATGTCATGGCCCCCTAAGTGCAGAAGACCAGTGCCTGCTGGAGGAACAGAAGGAGCTCCATGGTACCAACGCTCTGCTGATGCTGCTTCCCCCTCTTAACAGTGCTGGACAGGGCGAAGAGGACGAGGATGTGACCCTGCTCTCTGCCCTCCTCCAGCTGAGGCAGGTGCAGCAGGCCAGCTGCTGGCACTCTCCTCTACCACTGGTTGTGGTGGTTACTGGCAACCAAGACAGTGGTATCGGCGATCAGGGTTTGGAAGAAGGCAAGTTTGTTAAAGAAAATACATTGTATAATAGACAAGGGGTGTTAAAGACTACAATCTGATTATTTTATTGTCTCTCTTTCACAGCACTCATGTTGAATATGTTAGTGAAAGATGGCCTCATCTCTGAATACATCTTTGTCCATATTCCAGCAACCCTCACTGACCTGCAAGGCTCAGAGCAGGTTGGTCTGCAAAAATAAAATAAAACAATTAAAGTAAATATAGTTAAACCTTTTTGTGTTAGAGATGTGATCATATTGGTGTCATAAACATCTCACTGAGGTTTTCTTTGCTACTGTCTGTCACTTTTAACTTTCTCGTCGACAGTTGTAAGAGGTTATTATGTCCAGGTCACATTTCTCATCGAAATTGGAAATTACATTTTAAGTGAAGAAAATTAAGCCATTTATTAGGATGATTTATATGACAATATACAAGATGAATCTAATATTTTATTTATAAAATGACTTCATATTGTAGTAATATACCTTAAAATCATTAGTGTACACTGTACAGCAACCCTCATTCAGCAGGTTCGTCTGCAAAAAGTATTGAGAATACACAGTTATGTGTATGTCTATAAAATATGTTTGTTAGGGATGCGTATACATATGTGTGTGTGTGTATCTTATCAGAATCAGTCGATAAATGTGACCTTATAATGCTATTGGTATTGGTCCAATAGGCAAAATGGGGTGATATATTTATAAATTATAGCCAAATGATCATTGGGGCCCCACATTTATTTTTTAAGCTGTGTTTTTAGTTTCCATTTATTTTCTTAAAGAGTTTATATAAAGAAAAGCAGTTTTTAGTTTTTAATGTTGTCTGGTGTAATTTGAAGCATGAATAGATCTGGATACTTTTATGCATTTTTTTTGTAATCAGCCAAAATGCAGGTTTATATCTAATATCAGCTGATATATTGGTTATCGACTTCAAAATATAAATAATTATCATATCAGGCAAAATTCCCATATTAATGCATCCTTAATTTGTGTTTAACCTCACTTTTGAACTAAATATGGATGATGTACTTACTCATTCTTTTTTATAACCATTCCACTTCAGATGAGTCTTGTTGTAAGGTGGCTTGCAGCCCGCTCTCCCGCTGGCCCAGCCCTCTTGAGTTAGGCCTGTGCCGTGAGTTTCACTCCAGACTACAACGAGACAAGCAGGACAGGAAACATGCAGGTCTCCCGTCTCAGCGCCCGGAGCCTATTGTGCAACTCTGTAACAGTGTGCTGAATTTTCTGGCAGGTGTGGTTTCGTCAGAGCACCTGTCCAGTCTGTGCTGGCCACCTCCTGAATTCTCTCTCCCCGGAGAAATCCACACACCAAACAAATTCAAAGTTCAAGATCCATTTTTTGTTTTGTTTTGTTTTTCATGTTGTGTAAACTGAATCTACGCACGCAGAAAATGCATTTCATGTACAAATTGGCACATTTTTCATATATTTTGCTAATGGGAGGTAATCTTATGCTCAAAGTAAAAAACAGTACTATTGAATTGAATTGAATTTTATTTCAGGATAGCTCCTTGAGATGTAACATCTCATTTTCAAGGGGGTCCTGCATCTATGTATACATGTACAGACACAAAAGACAACCACACAGCATCCACATAAGAAAAACACATACACACATACAAAACATTAACTCGCTCACCTGCCCTTGACCCCACAAATAACATAGCACACTTAATAAAGTATATTAACCAAAATCAGCCAAATACATTAAACAACTAATGCGTCATTTATCAGTATACCTTATACAAAATGTAACATGCAGTATAACGTCACATCTCGCACAGAAATGTCAAAGAAAAACCAGAAAAAGAGAAGATGTATACAACTATATGTTTTCTACATAGATCATTAAATGAAATACCATTGTGGTCCCTAATTACAAGTACATGTAGTTTTAAGAAAAGAAAAAAGTGATGATTTGAATGATGATTCCAGTCATGAGGGGCTTTATAATGAAATGCTCTCCTACCAGCTACAGAAAGTAACCTTGGAACCTTGTGTTGGACACAAATGTTGGACATTGGAGGTGTCTCAGTGAGTATGTTGAGCAATAGGGTATTAAATGCTGTTTAAGATATTCAGGACAATTGAAATGAACACATTTAAATATAAATAGAATCCAGTGGTAGTCCCTTCGTTGTTTAGGTTGCAACCAGTTTAATGAATCGTACATAAAACAATGGTGAGTTTTAAATGGACATTTCAATATAAATCTGCAAAAAGAGTTGAATACAACATTAATAGGTTTGAGATTGGACTCAAAGGTATTAGTGTAAACTATGTCTGCATAATCAATAATTGGTATTACCAGTTGAGAAATAATTTTTTTTCTAACTTGAATTGAAAAACAATTAATTGATCTGTACAGAGTGTTAAGACATCCGTATACTTTAATGATATTATCAATGTGTATCTTAAAGGTAAGGTTGGAGTCGAGCCAAAGGCCCAAATATTTAAATTCCTCAACAATCTGCATAAGGGACCCATCTAAAAACTTTATTTCAAAACCTGAAGCACAACGACGATTTTGTATCGTGGAAAATACCATGCAGCAGGACTTCTTCATGTTCAACAGAAGTTTATTAATGAACAACCACTGTTGTACTTTATCAAAGTCAGATTGAAGAGTTCTTTGAACGTGCAACAAATCCCGATCAGAGGTGTAGACAACAGTATCATCAGCATAGAGCTCTAATTCACAATGAGAACAAACCTGTGCCAGGTCATTGATAAAGATTGAAAAAAGTAAGGGGCCTAAAGTTGAGCCTTGAGGAACACCTTTATCAACAATTAAATAATTTGACTGGAATCCTTGATAAACAACAAATTGACGTCTATTATGCAAATAAGAGTTGAACCAAAGCAGAGCATTTTTGTTCAAACCAATAGAGTAAAGCTTATCCAGTAGAAGATAATGGTCAACCATATCAAAGGCCTTTGAAAGATCAATGAAAGCAGCACCAATGAAATGACCTTTATCAAAACCCGAGAAGACATCATTTGTAAATTTTACGAGAGCAGTTGAAGTAGAAAAATTGGCTCTAAAGCCAGATTGATGTGGAGATAAGATATTGTAGTTATTAATGTACACAGTTAATTGATTAAAAATTAATTTCTCAAATATTTTAGCAACTACACAAATGATGGAAATCGGGCGATAATTATTCACATCCGATTGGTCTCCACCTTTAAAAAGAGGTGTCACTCTTGCAGCTTTCCAAATTTGTGGCACAGTACAAGTAGTTAGTGATAAGTTAAAAAGATCTGCAAGAGGAAAGATCAATATGTGAGCAGCAATTTTGATAAACTTAGCTTCCAGCTCATCTGGTCCTGCACTACAATTTAATTTAAGGTCCTGTAATACATTAAAGACATCAGTAGGCATAATCTTTTTAAATGAAAAAGAGCCAGCAGGCATAGAAGAATAAGAAGACCATGCCAAACCATCAGAGCAAACAGATTTTGAACTACATAAAGACGAAAAATGATGATTAAAGGCATGAGCTATATGCAAATGATCAGTTAAAGTGTCATTATCCTTGCATATTCGCTTCACAAATGTTTTTTTATTTTTGTTAAGAATGTTATTTAAATGATTCCAGAATTGCCTATGGGTTAATGAAATCGCGAGAGAAACAGTCTCTATAATAATTCGATTTGGCATTCCTAGTTTCAGTTTTACAATTTAAAATAACTTTTCTATTTTAATATAATTTGAAATATGGTAATTTATTCCTGTGATGGCAAAGCTGAATTTTCAGCATCCATTACTCCAGTCTTCAGTGTCACATGATCTTTAGAAATCAATCGAATATGCTGATTGTTGCTCAGTTATTATCAATTATTATTGTTGATGCATTATTAACAACGTTGAAAACGGCTGTGCTACGTAATAGTTTTTGTGGAAACCGTGATACATTTTTTCAGGATTCTTTGATGAATAGAGTTCAATGAACAGCATTTATTTTAAATAGAAATCTTGGTAACATTATAAATGCTGAAAAAGCCCTAGCTGAATAAAAGTATTATTATTCTTTTCTTTCTTACCCCAAACTGGTAGTCATGGTTTGAACAAAAATGTTAAGCCACAAAAAACCTTTCAACATTGATAATAACGGGAAAAAAAAGAAGAAATCTTTCTTTTTGTGACACTGAAGACTGGAGTAATGGCTGCTGAAAATACAGCTTTGCCATTACAGTAATACATTTTAAAATATATATTACATTGAAAAAATAAGTTATTTTAAATTGTAATATTTCACACTTTTGCTGTATTTTTTTATTTTTTTCCGCCTTGTAAAAGTTCCGCCTTGGTAAGCATAAAGACTGACATTTTAGTAGAATTTGGGTATTTGACCCTGAATTAACTGTAGATAAATGCTATGGATTTGTATGGTGGCATTAAAACAATCTCTTCCCTTGCTACTCAGCTTCCTGGCCACATTTGTGCGCCTCTATAATCCAGTACGTATCCCAGATCCAAACCTCGCCCTTAACCCAACCCATTCTAATGTCCCCCTGGAGAACCTGCTAAGAAGAGTGAACTACCAATATTTTCATGTGAGCGGTGCAGATGGGGATGACTATGAGAAGACTGGACCATCCTTTCAAGAAATTCCCTGGGACGATATCATATGCCTGTGTGTAGAGGAGAGCATCGTATGAAGGACTGGAGTTTAGGGCCTCTTGTGGCAAAAGGTGAGAATAACAGATTGGTAACAGAATGGAAATTATGAACTTCAGACATTTTCCATTGTTATTAAAATGTGTGTTTTAACTGTTTTAATCACAGATGCACTCACAGATGATGGTGAGATTTTGGTTTTGGTTGAGGGTTTTGGTTTTTTGGCAGGACTCAGGAGTGCCTTGCTCTGTCATATAGCGTAGTAGATCATCCGCCTCTGTTTTTGTTTGTTTTTTTGTTTTCCCCGCGTGTTCACTCATCATCTGACCTCATACACTAACCTCGCGACAACTGCCACCTACAGTACCTGTAGTTATCGCGAGGCTAGCTAGAGCTCAGATTGGGAATGTTTTTTTTTACTCCGCCCGGGGTATTATTATTTTTCAATAACGCAGGTTAAAATACGGGAGATTTACGGGAAAATCCTAATACGGGAGGACGGCGGGAAAGAAGGGTAAAATACGGGACTTTCCCGGCCAAAACTGGATACTTGACAGGTATGCCTCTAGGAAGCGCCATCCACACAGGTGTAGGCTACAGTATTCCATAACTATAACTAGTGCTAATATGAAAGTTGTTACAATGACAAGTAAACTGGTGGGAATTGCGTTAACAAGTATAGAGAGAGTGCTGAATAAAACTAACATTGTGAATAATAAGAGGCATTCTTTATCCTATATGCTTTTGAATTACTGCCATTAGGCTACTGGCCAACGGTTTTGTTCCCCGATGCATTAATAACAGGTCCAAACTATCTTTTATCCCCCAAGCAATTACATTTTTCTAGTGTTAATTGATGATCAGTTGGTCTGGTTATTTTAAATTAGATTTATTTGCTTTAAATTATTGTTAATTGATGCCTACTGTGATTGTTAAATATCTCTGTGAGTATGCTGCAAACTTATTTTCCCTACGGGGACAAATAAACTGACTAACTAATATGAAATTAAAAAGTAGCTTTCATTAAAATGTATTTGTTTGTTATTTGAAGGAAGTGGTTGATTCTGTTGAGAAGACTGAATCTCCTAGTGGAAAAAGCAGACCGGTATCTTTATTCCGGCGTTTGCAGGACTTGAAAAGTGAGTTGTCAAGTCAGCAAGAGGAGGAACGTGTGTGTGGCCTCAAGTTGAAGTGTCTTTTAGACATTGTAATTGATGTTTCAATATAACCGCAACTGCTCAATGCCATTTCCAGTCTTTGCAATTTGAACGAAAATGTCTTTTATTGGCTGGGTATTAGTCTTAGCAGTTTTGTTTTTGATGTTTTTATTTTATATATTTGATTAAATACATTTGCTTAAGTCATGTGCCTCATCCATTAAGTATAATTAGATCTTAGTGTGTATTTTCATGTAGCCTACTTAAACATTAATTTAGAATTTGTACATTTGTCTTCAGACATACTTTCCCAGTTTCTGAATAAGAGAGTTCAGTGTATTTTGTTTATTTCAATAATTATGTTGTATTTTAATGTATATTTTTGACAACCATAAAGATGTTTTTATCAAACCTCTGCCCATTTCGTTCAAATTATTTTCCAAATATGCTGAGAAACCCTGTATAACACGGATAATGTTTGTTCAAATATACCTGATAAATTACGAATTATTACATGAGGGATTTAATTATTCACGACACTCCAAACGTGGTTGGTGTAAACTGGAAATTCACGCCCATTTTACTATGTTTCTATCTGCTGATTGGAGGACCTGTCCTCTGGTCATGTCTCTCCATTCGATATCACGCTCGGAAGGCCGCGCTAGTTTAGGGATGAAGCTCTTTTGCGTTCTTCTACCGTTTGAGAACGGTCGTGAATAAAAAACTACATTTCCCAGGGCGATTTGAAGGAGGTGTTTAGCGTCCCAATCAGCTGAAATACCGGTATGACTGGTTCTTTTCACTTTACAAGTTTTTCTCTTGCGCTTCAAAGATGACAGACGGAACGTAAGTAGCCTATAAATTGTTTCATATTTGTGAAAACGTATGTTATTTTAAAATTACGCAGATCTGAAACGAATACATTTATTTAAGACGCGTCAAAGAAACCAATAGCTACAATAAACAATGACGATTTTGTTTTTTAAAACATTATTATTAGTAGTAGTAGTAGGCTAGTAGTAGTGGTAGCATTCAAAATGTTAGTGCCCGATAATACAGACAATATGCATATCAGTTAATCTTGTCTTTATTATAATATAATATGAAGGTGTTTTATTTATTTTAACAAAGAGAATATATGTATTTTATATCCAGGTTTTTACTGACAAATCTTACCAAATTTTAAATAAAGTAATAAAAAGGGGAGCTTTTGTTGTTAAGGTAATACCCTTACACTTCCATTCATATATTTTTTTATTCATATTTAGAAACACATCAACAACTGAACTTTTTAAACATGTACCTGTTGTAAATGACTTGAATTTTTTTATTAAACATCTTATCAAACATAAGATACACTTTACAATACATTTTCATTTTATGTTAACCAACCCACCCAAGAACAATCCCCACCTGTTGCACCAATAGCCAACACATTAAAAAAATATTTTATTTTTTTAAATCAATAACATGTTGTAGAGAAGGCGGCACAAGTATGTTACTCCTCTGAAATTGAGATTAAAGAGGGATCCACCTTCCTAATTTGGTCCAGAACCGGTTGCCAGATATCAAAAAATGTATAGGCCTTATTTTTTCCATGGTCAGATTGTATAAAAGATCAATGAGCCACATTTTAAAAGTTGGAGGGGACTTGTCTTTCCATTTAAAGGGATACTCCACCCAAAAATGAAAATTCTGTCATCATTTACTCACCCTCAAGTTGTTACAAACCTGTATGAGTTTCTTTCTCTGCTGAACACAAAGGAAGATATTTTGAAGAACGATTGGAACTTTGGCACCATTGACTTCCATAGTATTTTTTTTTTTCTACTATGGAAGTCAATAGGGAATTATCACGCTGATAGGCTACGTAGTACTTCCGCATTCAGTGATCTTTGTGCACTGCCACTTCCGTTGAATCACCGATCACTCTGGCGAACTGATGACGGACTACACTAAGTTTAAATACGCCATCGATTCACTAAAGTGCCGGCTACAAACAAACGTGCTACCTTGTTTTAATTTAAAGTTCAGACCTTAATCCCGGCGAACCGCTTTAATCCACTTCTTCCTTATACTCAATTCAGTCGGGAATCCATGAGAACTTAAGTATAGGGTTAGCGTTGTTGGTTGGATTTACAAAGTGTAACAGAGCAGTGACATCTAGCCTTCGTTTCAGCCATTGTTGAACTGCGTCGGAAGTGGACATGCACAAAGTTGACAAATCCCGCCCATGAAACCCGGAAGCGTGATAATCCCCTATGGTGCCAAACAGTGTTGCCACAGTTACTTTGAAAAAGTAACTTAGTTACTTTACAGATTACTTGATTTTAAAGGTAACTTACTTTACAAGTTACTTTATTAGTTACATTCAGCAGCTGCCGAAAACATCCCTTTTTAACAGTGATATCAACAATGTATCTCCTGACATTTTAAGTTGAACTTAAAAACTATTTCCTGAAAAAATACATGTTTTTATAAAAAATAAAATAAAGACAGTCTTTCTTGGCTTCACTTAACATAAATACTTGTTCTTTTAAATAAAAAAATTAAATAAAGACAGTCTTTCTTTACTTCACTTAACATAAATACTTGTTTTTCTAAAACAGAATAACAAAAGACAGTCTTTCTTGACCTGACTCGCGATCACTAGTGAACGCGCCAGAGAGAAATGCACATTTCATATGGATTACATAAGCAGAGAACAGTCTGTTTTCTTTCTTTTTGAATTGTTCTGTTTAAAAGTACACATTTCGAGCTTTCTATATATTTCTCAGGTGTGTGAGGCAAGTATAGGCCTACCTTACGCTGTGTTTCGGTTGTTCACGCGCCGGCGCCTCCGTGTCTTGATTTATTGTCTGCTATATTTACTTTTTATTTATTAAATCCAGGCAATTGGTTGATGAAACATTTATTAAAATTAAGATACAATTTATACAAAACGAAATTCACAAAGGGTTTCTGCTTTCTGTTTGATGTCTCTGTGAACGTTTTAAAAGCAGTCTTTCAGTGCCGCTTTCAGAGCGCTCACGTCCGTAACGGGGAACTGTCACGTAGCCTACCATTGTTTTTCCCTCATAAATGCGTACACGAAAAATAAGACAAAATGAATATTTTATGTTCTGTGGAGAGCCAACCCTTCTTCATCCGGTGGGTAGTAGCCTACCTACTTTTTGTACTTTTGCCAACTAAAAGTTTTTTGTGTCACGTCCGTTACAGATGTGTATTTCCCTCATATTAAATATAAAACGCATGTGTAGACTGATATTTTTCTATGTCCTCCTTATTTATTAAGGGAGTATGGATAAACAGACGCTTCAATATATTAGTATTAAATGCATTTTCTGAGAATTTACATTTCAAGTTTTTTGTCTCAAATGTCACGTCCATAACGATGGAATAGCCCAATTTTAAAGAATTCATCCTCAACTAGGTTTGTGGTGTAGGTCTACGTATTTTATAATGTTAACTTAAAATAATACGAATAGTAATTTAAAGATGTGGTAGCATTGGATCTGGACGGGAAGGATCGGTAACTCACCGGAGTAAAGATAGTTTGCGGTTTGATTTTCAGTTTTCGTTTCGCTGTGGTCCCGCAGTGCGGTGTCGTGGACATGCAAATAATATCTCATGTCGTTATTCATGATTTGTGAATTTGTGTAACGGTGTTTCTCCGGGTCAAAAACCTTTTTTTTTTTTTTCTTTTTTTTTAATTGGGTATAGCTCCAAAAGTCGGTCACTTAGGAGTCTGAACCCAGTGTCACCTTGACATGCTCGATTTGTGAATTTTTTCACAGCAAAGCTCTTATCTGTAAAACGTTCGCTAAGTCCGGTAGACAGGAATGTTGAAAATAGGCGTTGTTCATGTTTAAACAATGGATATT